CTGCAGCAGGGGCTGCAGCCTACGCCGTCGCTGGCGACTCACAGCAGCCCAGCTCCAGGTTGAGCTGTTGTTCAGCATCTTAGCTGTACAGGGCAGTGTTACGAGCCCTCATATGTGGGGTCCAAACCGGGGCCCTCTGGCGTCCCAAGCCAGATCTTAACCAATGCGCCTCTTGGCCGGCCTTCACTTACCTTTTTTTTAACCTGAGCAACTGAGTGAATGCTGGAGTCATTTACATTTACTGAGGTGAGAAAACATGGTAGAGCAGGATTTGAGGGGGTTAGGGTAGGGAAGCAGTAACTCAGATTGGGACATTTTAAATTTGAGATGCCTACTAGAAATCTAATGAGATATATCAGGTAGTTGGTTTAGATGTATGAGTTTGGAGCCAAGGTTAGAAGTCAAGGTTAAAGATCTAAACCTGAAAATTATTAGCATAGAGGCAGTATACAGCTTTGGAGCCAAACTGTGTGAATGCACATGTAAGCTCTGCCACTTAATGAATGTGTAATTGTAGTCAAGTTAACTTGACATCTCTGCGCTTTATTTACCTTATCTATAAATTGGGGATAATAATAATATTTACCTCACAGGGTTATTGATTAAATGAGTTAATACAAGCAAAGTCCTTAGAACGGTGTCTGGCACACAGTACTTACTAGATGTTAACTATTATTATCAGTTTATGAGGGGTGTTTAAAATTGTGAGATTAGATGAGATGACCTAGTGAATGAATATAGGTAGAAAAAAGGGCCAAGGGAGCAATACAACCTTTAGAATTCAGAGACAGGAAGAAGGAGACTGAGGAATGGGGTCGTAGTCAAACCAGGAGGATGTGGGGTCTGGAAGGAAATATTGTGAAGAAAAATTAGTAAAGAAATCATTTCAAGGGGAGAAGTCATCAGCTTGGACAAATTCTGCTTGAGAGATTGAGTAAGATGAAGACCAAGAATTGATCATTTGTTAAGATGGAAGCTGTTGGAGACCTTGACGTGGTTTCAGTAGCGTGGTGGGTATGAACACCTGATTGGAGTGGGTTAGGTAGAAAATTGGAGGTACAGAATTGGAGAACATGAGTATAGACAACTCAGAGGGCTTTGCTGTAAAGAGAAAGAGAGACAATGGAGTAGTAGCTAAAGGAAGATGTGTGGAGTCAAGGAAGGTAAGAGTGTGTGTGTGTTGATTTTAAGATGGAAGGTAGTGCAGTAAGTTTGTACACTGATGAGAGTGACCCAGTGGGGAGATATTTGATGATATATTTGAGTGACGTGGGGTAATTGCAGCAGCCAAGACCTTGAGTAGGTGCGATGAGGTGGTAAGTGCACAGTTGGCAGAGTTAGTCTTAGATATTGGCAGGGGCAGTTCATCCATTGATGAAGGTAGAGAATATTCATGGAAGTGAAGATAGATAGGTGGATTTGGTTATGAGAAAATCCTCCTGAGTGCTTTAATTTTTTTTCAATCAAAGAGGGGCAGGATCATCAGCTGAGAGAAGTGGGAAGGCGGATGTAAGGTTTGAGAAAGACGGTAGTGTGAAACAGGCATCTGGAAAGGTGAGAGAATGAACTGACTAGGGAAATGCAGGTGGAATGTCACGGAGTTCAAAGGGCCCATCTGACATTTGTGGCCATTAAAGTGATTCTCAGCTGGCCGAGGAGGGAAACACCTTGAGGCATCTGTTCTGAATTCTAGTCCCATGGCTGAGAGGATTACTCTTGAATCATTCGTCAGGTCCATGAGCATTGACAGGAATGAATAAAAGTGAATAGGCCAAAAACTAATCATTTTTGCATATGTGCATGTCTGTATCATGATGTTTCATGTAGAGGATGAGGTCCTAGAGGTGTTTATGTTGGCTTATCTCCCTCAGACTGCCTGCTTTACACAAGTGATATCAAGTAGGCCCTGGGACACTTTCAATGAATTATATTTGCTTGCTGAGCTATGTAAAGAAAGTAAAAACTCTAATGGAGAAAGAAGCTCAGTAGTTTTTCCTGATAGAAAGCCCTGCCAGAGTTCTCCCTATGACCTGTGGTTTCTATTAATCTGCAATTATCATTCATGTTGATTTCATGCTTTTGTGTTTGACTACAGATGAATTCAAAGTCTGGTTTTCTTTTCTTTCAGGTGCTGGAGAATCTGGTAAAAGCACCATTGTGAAACAGATGAAGTAAGTTGAAACATGGTCTTTTGTAAGACTACATTTCCTCATGATGCACACAAGTCCGTAGCATTTTTTTCATTTTCGGTCCATGGTAATGATTTGTGGTTTTTTTCTTTTTAAAGAATCATTCATGAGGATGGCTATTCAGAGGAAGAGTGTAAACAATATAAAGTAGTGGTCTACAGCAATACTATACAGTCCATTATTGCTATCATAAGAGCCATGGGACGGCTAAAGATCGACTTTGGGGAAGCTGCCAGAGCTGTAAGTGTTTCTCATTTCCTCTTCACTTGCTCTTTTTCAGTAGATGCAGTTAAGCAAAATGTGTTTCCCGTTTTAGGGAAATGAATTTAAGTAACAAGATAAGACGTAGCAAAGTTCTTTCTGTGTGCTCATTTGAGAAGTGTTAGCAATCTGCTTGAGGAGATATTAGATTACCACACAGAGGAGACTCGAGGAAATGGGGATTCTGTGGATATGCTGTAGGTTTCTGGGATAACTGTTTTGCTCACTTGCTTCTCTTACAGCACTGTTTTCTAATTTATAGTGGCAAGTGATAGTAAATTGATACAACCTAAAAGAGGTTGCCATGCTTTCTAAGGTGTAGAGATTAAAGGTAAATATCAGTTTCCCAGAATAAACTTGGTACGGACATGAATACTAAGCCTAAATTTTAGAGGCAATTTTCAGATATTCAGGAATATAGTTCACCAAAGACTACACTGAACTGCTGTAGACTATAGAATTGATTCTACCATGTCCTGATATAATTCTTGCACATGTCAAATAGTCAAAAGTCATGTTGATTAATTATAATACTTAGTGGGCCCTGAAGTTCAGTTTATAAATTAGGATGCTTTGATGCAGTGGGGTGAGGGTCAAAATGAAGGCGGGGGATCTTTTATATCATCATCAGCTAAATTCCAAGAGCTGGCTGGGAATGTATAGAATGATTTTCTAGAACTGTTATCAGCTGTATTCAGAGTGTCATACTTAGGTGCTTTGGGCAATAGAAGGAAGTGACCTGGGGAGGCTTCCTGGGAAGGCAACGCCTATATGTCTGTGAAGTAGCTTAGGGACTGTTAAGCAACTCTCAGTTCATCAGATGCAAATTAATATTCAGTAAACCAGTGGGGAAATTGTTAAAGGGAAAAATAATACAAGGGTGTTTATAATTGGATGGTATTTAGACTAGGAAATCTTAGAAGTGGCCTAAGGAAGAGGAACTAGAGTAAGGGTTGTAAAAGAAGAAGGGAAGAGGAATGTGAGGCATGACTTCTATGTTTTTGTAAAAAGGTAACATATCACAAAAATTAGAGATTTTATTTTTCTAACCCCCTGAGCAGGGAACAATGTGATAGCTAAGGCAAGAATAAATAGGCTTTGTTTTTGTCTTACTGCTTTCTATTCCTTCTTTCACCTCCTGCTTTTCTTTCCTTCTTTTCCTTTTTTCCCCTTTTCCGACCAACTGTCTCCTGTGCTCTTATTTTCTCCCTCCCTTTTCTCATTTCTTCTTATACCTAACTCTACCGCTCTGTTGTATTTGCTGTATCCAATAGCTGGTCAGTAATATTGTATTTATTCTCTTCCCTGTCTTTGTTGGCGTTTTCTCCATCTCAGTGCTACTTCTCTTAGTTTCTTCCTTTTTTATTCCTCACCCTCTGTCTGTCCTCTTTTATATCTCTTGATCATCCCTCTTTTCATTTCCATTATCAAATTAGTTGTTACTACTCTTTGGGTCCTGGCACTCTTTTGTCAAGATGCAGATGCAGTTGACATTTTCTATCTTTGGCCGTTTGGGCTGCTATAACAAAATACCATAGACTCAGTAGCTTATAAACAACAGAAATTTATTTCTCACACTTTCAAAGGCTGGGAGTCCAAGATCAGGGTACCAGCATGGTTGGATGAGGGCCCTCTTGCAGGTTGTAGATGTCCTGCTGTGTCCTCACTTAGCAGAAGGGGAAGTGCTATCTCTGAGGTCTCTCTTATAAAGGCACTAATCCCATTCATGAGGGCTCCACCCTCCTGACCTGAGTATCTCCCAAAGACCCCAGCTCATAATACCATCACATTGGGCATTGGATTTCAGCATGAATTTGGGGTGGACACAGATATTTAGACCATAGCATCCCACCTTTCCTTTCTTTAGTTTGTCGAATCAGTGTCATAAATCTTCGGCTCCTAACACTCCTGTGTCACCAGATGCAGTTGACATCATAATTCCTCTCAGGCCTCCTGTATCTAGCTTTCCAGCATCCACCCATCCTAATCTACAGTCATATATAATTTTTTGAAGTTTCTCTTTTTTTTTATATGTAAGAATTTATATTTATAGCTCTTCTCTTATCCTTCTCTAGTTTTTTTATGGTTGGTGAGAGAGTGAATGGAAAAAAATAGAGCTGGATGTGGGATTAGGTTGCTTTTTCATGTCTGCTTAGGGTGGAGGTATGACCCTAAGAGGTATGACATTGTCGAGAAGGGCCTCTTTATAGACCTATAAAGGTTGATTGTGGGGAAGCAACATTGGTCAGTGGAAGAGATTAGTGGGAAGGGAAAAGTGTTTCCTCCTAAAACAGCGTTTACAAAGTCGGGACAGCAAAATTATATAACAATAGCTCTCTGTTTTAAAATTTCTAAAATTAGAATCATGGTGCTATTAAAAAAAAAAAGTAATTGCTTTATTGAGATTTTTGAATTCCTGCATGAGTATAGGTCAAATTTCAGAACCAAGGGACTATGAAATGTTAAATGTTAAATAAAGCACTATACCATATATGTAGAAGGGCATGCTCACTGTTGAGTGTGTTTGCCAGTTTCTGTAATTTTTCAGCTTTTCTCAGTCATTTGTTCATTTAAAATTCTGAAAAAAGAGAAGGGGAATGTAGATGTTGACGTTTTTTATCTCGGCAAAAGTCATTAAGGCTGAAGACCCTGAGTTTGGTAGAATTAATTCAGTGCATTCTGGTTCGATTTGTTTTGCTTTGCTTAAGAGTTTGTGACTGTGACTTCACCTATGGTCTGAAATGCTTTGTTTGCTAGTTTATTGTCCTGATGACTAGTTGTGATAGAATTTATTGCTCCTCTTTCTCCTTTACTTTTTTTTTTTTAAAGATTTTTATTGGGGAATTGGGGGATGGGAACAGTGCTGGGGAATTGGGGGAAGGGGAACAGACAAGTTGCTGTCCTTTTGTTCTTCAGTCTAGTTGTGGAGGACGTTGCTTCACTGGCCCAAGTTGGCACCATCATTGCGCTCTTCCCGGGCGAGGCAGATCAGTCACCGGCTTCTGGACGGCCGTTCACTGCGGCTGCTGGCCACTCACACTGGCTGCTGGCTACACACGGTAGCCCATGGCAACCCGCTGCAGCAGGGGCTGCAGCCTACGCCGTCGCCGTCGACTCATGGCAGCCCAGCTCCAGGTTGAGTTGTTCAGCATCTTAGCTGTGGAGGGCAGTGTCACTGGCCCTCATGTGGGATCCGAACCGGGGCCCTCCGGCGTCCCAAGCCAGTTCTTAACCACCGCGCCACTCAGCCGGCCCTCCTTTACTTTTTCTTTACCCTTTATATGTTTTTTTAGTGTCTGCATTTTTATAATTACTTGGAAATCTTCTGAGGCAGATGAATATTAAATTGAGGTGGGGCGATAATCCCATGAGACCGATTTTCATTTTTATACTATCTGACAAGTAGGGCTGGGAAGAGTAAAACAAAAACAGTTTCATACTCCTTTCAGTCTTGTCTCCCTCACCCATATTTTAAGTTTAAAAACTTGTCACCATTTATAAAGCTATGTTTATAACTCATGAAGTTTTGATAAGTCTCTGTAACTTTCTTTTCCTTCTGCATCCTTTTCCTCCCCTGTCTTAATTTAGAGGGTTAGCATTCCTTTAGGGGAAGTCTAGAGACCGAATTTTCCCTGAGGGTTTTATTTCCCCCGCTAGGTTTCCAGACTTCTTAAATGCCCCAGTCTCCACTTCCTCCTGCTCCTCTATCTGAACTGCAGGGGGAAGAAGAGAACAGTTTTTCCTTAAACTTGTTTTACTCTCTTTGATATGTTTAGACTTTACCTCCTAGGTGCTAGTCTTTTCATTTCTATTTTTATCGTATGCTTCCTTGAGCAGAATAGGAATGAATTACATGTGTCCGTCTCACAGGACAGTTTTTTTCTGTCAAAAATTATGAGTAACCAGGATGGAGATTTATAGGCCAGTCAGAAGAGATCTTTTCAGGGGATGGTGGTGTGTGGAGAAGTGGTAGGGGGAGTGAAATTATTCCTCAGCACTTCTAACTGTAGTGGAGTGAGAAGGCAGAAAGACTTCACTGTACATTCCTAGACTGCCTGCCAGGAAGGTTCTCTTTAATACCTCCATTAAAACAATATAACGTGGGGCAGCCTGTTAGCTCAGTTGGTTAGAGCGCAGTGCTCCTAACACCAAAGTTGCTGGTTCGATCCCCACATGGGCCGCTGAGCTGCGCCCTCCACAACTAGATTGAAACAACTTCTCTACTTGGAGCTGATGGGTCCTGGAAAAACACACTGTTCCCCAATTAAAAAATAGTAATAATACTACGTGTGTATGTGTGTGTGTGTGTGTGTGTGTGTGTGTGTGTGTGTGTGTGTTTTAAAGAAACTCTCGTCAAGTCTTTTAAGAAATGGAGAATCACCTGTCTCTCTTTCTTCAGGATGACGCCCGGCAATTATTTGTTTTAGCTGGCAGTGCTGAAGAAGGGGTCATGACTGCAGAACTAGCAGGAGTGATTAAACGGTTGTGGCGAGATGGCGGGGTGCAGGCCTGCTTCTGCAGATCCAGGGAATATCAGCTCAATGATTCCGCTTCATAGTAAGTAATTTTTCTCTGTGAAACTAACAGAAAATAACTTGGTGACTCTAGAGAAAGATGAATGCTCATCCTTAAGGAAGTGTTTAGAAGTCCACAGGATCCCTTACAAAGATGGTTTCAGTTTGGTTATAGAGCCCCTGGTCATTTTGTATGACTTGGATAAAAATGTTTCCTCTTGGAATGTGAATGGGAGACTTGGTACCATGAAAGTAGCTCTGGTAGTTTATAATCAGCAAGTGAAAGAGGAGAAAAATCTATTGCAGCCGGGTCCTAGATCTCTTTCAACTCAGAAAGTTCCCTCGCATAAGGGCTTTGCATTGATTGCCAGCTAAGGAGGGAATTTACAATAGAATTGTGGTATCCCTTTTTATGCACCCAACTCTCTGTGACCATGGATTTCTCTGGTACTAGCCACCACTTACAAATCTTTCGCCAGATCACAAAAGCAGACTTTATACAGAAAGAGAATGTTGAGTCTTGGAACAAAGTTGAAGCATCTGTTTGTCGAGGACATTCTCTTGAGTGTTAAATAGTTTTAGCAAATTTGGAATTAATACTTCTATTAAGCTATAGCATGCTATCCTATTTTTCTTCTTTTACAACATGTTTATTTATAAGACCTGCATTCAGAGTGTATTTTTTTTAAAATGCATTTTGGGGGCTTGGTGAGTTCTTGTTACTTGAATCCATTTCTTCACTAAATGAAGAAATACTTTTAAATTTTTTAAAATTAGTGAAATAAATATTTCACTAATACTTTTAAAGTATTAAGGTATTTTCTCCAATATTTTCCTAATTTTCCCATCATTCTAACTTAAATTGATATAAGAAGAAATGAAATATTTCAAAAAACTTATTCTTTAAATGAAAATTTGACTTTAGAAACATTTCGGAATTCTTGCCCATCTTTTAATAATATTTGTTAATTGCAGATATTTAGTTTAAATAATTCTCCCAGTAGTCACCAAAGCTAGATTGTAATTTTTTCCATCACCAGTAAGCTCTGAACCCTTCCAACTACACCTGAAGAGATGATTCAGTTTTTTCATAATTGTTCTTCTAAGCTTGACTGATTCCTTAACATTAGTGATAGTGCTTAGTTTTATAGAAGATCATTAATGATTCACTTGTAATGGTGTCCCCTGTTCTTCACTCTTTTACCTAAAAAATCTTTAGGAAACCTTGAAATCGTGAAGAATTTAATTTAGCTTTGAAGCAGTCTTAATTATTCCACTGACAAATTAAATTTCTTTGAAGGTATTTACAGTTTGTTTTAGGCTTCAAAACAACCCACAACTTTCTATTTTCGTGGATGTAAATGAAATACTTATTGAGCATAGATTTTAAAATGTTATTAATTCAAACATCATTCTCTAATGCCTATCAAACATTTAAACATACAGATGACCCATCACTTTAAATATGGGAGGGCTTTTGTTTTGATTTGGTTTGTGTACTGTGTAGTACACAGTTGACTGTATAGTGTATGTAGAACATGCTTTAATTGTCCTGTGCTAGGTTCCCATTTTTTTCTCGTAATCGTTTCTGTGATAATGAAGATGTGATTTTGGTCTGCCACTTTAGTGACAGGTTCAGAATCTGCTTTTAGCAAGGAACTAGTTTATAGTCTGTTAACTCTCTGTGCACATGATTGGCTACCAGGTAAAAATAAATGTATATTTTATTTAGTTATCTAAATGATTTGGATAGAATATCCCAAACCAACTACATTCCAACTCAGCAAGATGTGCTGCGGACCAGAGTGAAGACCACAGGCATTGTGGAAACACATTTCACCTTCAAAGACCTGTACTTCAAGTAAGTCATTAGCCTTTTTGCTAGATGTGCCAAACACAAATATCTTCCCTTTAGTTAGTCTCTCTTAATCAGGGTAAAATTTCTCCCGGTATTATTCCTTGGTTGAGAAACTTACCGTATTCATCAGTCAGTATTTGAATGCTTTAACTGTGGGGGCCCAAACATTCCTTCTTTCTCCAGATAGCGTCAAATATTTTTGTCCATTTGGAGGAAATTAAATTCAAAATTAAATTGTAACTTAGGTATCAATAAAAGTAATCACACTGTTACCAATTTATTTTATTTTTAATTTTATTCTTTTCAAAAGCTGCTTTTTTGTTGGAATCACCAAAACAGGTATAAAATATTTGTTGTTTAGAAGGGTAACATAACAACAATACTAAAAAGGATAGAGAATCAGTTTGGGGGCTTAGTTATGTGACTTTTTTCTGCCATTTTGGTATTAAAAACAGAAATGCTTTTCTCACCAGGGTCAGTCCTTCCTTACTATATTGTCTATCCCTTTAAGTTTAATGGGATGGAGCTGATATTGTCAAGGCTCCTGGACTGTTTTGTGCACAGTCTCTGAGTTCTTGACACAGTGCAGGATGGAAAATCGATCTTGGGATAGAGGGATTTGGGGGAGGTATGATGACATAAACAATGATTGTTTTACAGAGAGAAAATTCTAGTATTCTAATACACAGGATTTCCTCATCAGCATTAGTAACTCTAAAATAGGCTTCAGCTTGTCTCTGTGTTAATGGTCTTTTGTAAATGTTAGAACTGTCTTTTTGGTTCCTGTTTTCTGTTTTTGTGACTTTTGAGATTAGGAGTGAACTTATATGATGTACTTTTTAGCTACCTCATGCTTATATGTAGAAATATGGTATTGAGAATTATTGCATTACAGATGTAAGTTTTTTTATGTTAACATTTTTATTTTTTTATGCAAATATAACTTCTATTCCAGATCCTCTGTTTTCTTTTCTTTGAAAACAATTGCTTCAGAAGATTTGTGCAATCCACACAGAGTTTAGGTATCACTAGATAAATATCTCTTGGGGTCTTGAAATATTAATACACCAAAACAGATTTGAAACCTGCTGTATAGGAAAAAAACAATTTAGCTGAGTGTTTGTAGAAGAACTGCTTATCTTTAGTACTGATGAATTTTTTTAACCAGAGTAGCAAAGACCACATGGATTATCTCCCATGAAACCACAAGAATGAGATGTCTCTTTGTGTGCTATAAGATTAGTAACCCATTTATAAGGAAATGCTGACCTTTAGTGTGGGAAACTTTCTCTTTGATGTTGTCTTAGACTGATCTTTAGTTAGGTAAATCCTACTGGTCTTACTTCAGGATCGATAACCAGATCTAATTAAGGTGCTGCACCCACTTTATTGTTGGCATGTAGATATCTTGTTATAAAGTACTATTATTCTTCCTTTTCCTCTTCTCTCTAGGCAAAACCACTATCCATTTATTCAAACATTTATTGAGCATCTACTATATGCAAGGCATTGTATAATTGCTTACTTGCCTCTCAGTTATGAGGTAATGTTTATAAAATGTTGATCTGTTAGTGAATGATATTGTAAATGTTAATATGTACTAAAAGCCCACCTTGGGAACTTCATAGTGTTTGACCAGTTTTATGGACTTTATAGAAGAAAATAGAGGAGTAAACTGAAATTATTGGTGTACCAGTGGTGTCTCTCTTTGAAAGACTTCTATGGTGAAATATATGACAGTAGCTTCCCTAAAACCTATAATATGAGGTTTTATATTTTATACCCTATATTAAAGCCAATTTATGATTGCACCATTTCGGGTATCATGAACAAAGGTTGAAAAGAACTATGCAAGATCAATCAAAAGAAAAAGTTGGGTCATTAAGAGATAAGATGACTGTTCTCTTTCAAACACAATTGAGAAATTACTCAGCTATCGCTCATTTTTCTCAGTCTCTGGGGGAAAAAAATCTCGGGAAATAGACCCCTCCTCACTATAGTTCTAATACACTAAAGCAGCTTGGCAGAATTTAACCTTTAAAAATGTTATCTTTGTCATCAAACATATCTCTTAAGAACATCTATCTATTTGAACGCACACCTCCTCAAGGCCTAGTACCAGCTTAAGACAAAGCTGTGTGGGTGTTCCTTTTACTATAGGAGGTAGATGAGGACACTGTTGACAGAAATTCAGTAGTTTACTTTGGATATCAAATAAGCCCTTGAGACGGGATTAGTGGACTAAAACTAATCTGGAGTGGAACATAAAGTGTGTGAATAATTGAGGCTTTGTTACTATTAAAGTAAGTTCAAATAAGACTTGGAGTTGGAAAACATTGGTTTTGTTTTGATATCAGTCCTTAGAGTCCTACCATAAAATACAATTTACATTTTTTCCATAATCTCCAAAAATTTTTTTTCCTTTTAAATAAGAAAAACATATCTCAATTATACCTCAATTAAAAAAAGAAAAGAAAGGAAAACAGACTTTTGAATCAGTAGGGAGAGAAGTTATGGAAACAATGCAAGTTTATATTTTTTTCATTGTTCTCTATTAACTGAAGAGGTAAACTATTTGAGAGGTAGAATGGTGGTGTGGATAAGAGCCGGGATGCTGGAGTTAGAGTGCCTGAGTTCAGTTCCCCAGTTCCCATTTGTTAGTAGTGTGCCCTTGGGCAAATTATTTAACATATCTGTGCATCAATTTCTTTATCTGTAAAAATCTGTAATAGTACTTATAGGAGCATTTTGAGGGTAAAATGAGTTAATGTACTTAAGATGTTTAGGGTGGTGGTGGCTGGCACTATGGTAAACATTCAATAAATATTAGTTATTAAAAATATTATATCTTAAGTTATATTATTCAGCTCTTTATTTTTCCTGTCTTTTTCCCCCTCTTTAGTTTATTTAGTGCTTATTCTGCTGACTTTTAGCATATCTGATAAGCTCTGATAGAAAGGAGGCTCAACTATATAGCTAAAATGAGAATTTTGATTATTCTAAATTTTTTTTCGCGTGTTTTCTATTACGTTTAATCACAGACAGTTATTTTGACTACATTTTATCGGCTCCTCTGTTTGTCTTTCTGTTATAAATGGGATTTGGAATAAGCAATAGTTTGAAGTTCCCTGATATTTCAATTTAAGGAGAGGTGTGTATGTGTGACCTTGCTGAATTTGTGCTTTCCCCCCCCCCTCCCTTGCTCAGGATGTTTGATGTAGGTGGCCAAAGATCAGAACGAAAAAAGTGGATTCACTGTTTTGAGGGAGTGACAGCAATTATCTTCTGTGTGGCCCTCAGCGATTATGACCTTGTTCTGGCTGAGGACGAGGAGATGGTATGTTGGAGCTTCTGGTAACAAGCCTGTCTAATGCAGCCAGGAAATGGAAAATAACTCTTAGGAAGACTTTGTGCATCTATGTGCTCATTGAACCAAAACTTAATATCCTTAATTTTTCCCCTTATCAATGAAATTAGATTTTCAAAATAGTAACCCATGCCCTATTAACACTTAAGAGATATGACAGATGTTGAGTATGTGGGCAGGATTAAGTTCTCTTGTCAGCCAGGCCTTCTTCCTACCTCCCAACCTCCAAAAATTTACAAAGATGAGGACTGGCCCAGTTTTTGTATTATCAGTGTCTGACTTAATTCCATGAGTGCCATGAGTGCTTTTAAAATTTGTTGGTCTCTTTTTTCATGAACGGTTGATCTGTTTTTATTTTTTGCTGCTGACCTATCATCCTGTGTTTTCTTTTGCAGAACCGAATGCATGAAAGCATGAAACTGTTTGACAGCATTTGTAACAACAAATGGTTTACAGACACTTCAATCATTCTCTTCCTCAATAAGAAAGACCTTTTTGAGGAAAAAATAAAGAGAAGTCCATTAACTATCTGTTACCCAGAATACACGGGTAAGGGGTCATGAAAGATTTTGTTGGAGGAATACATCTTAGATCAACACTTTAGTGACATTCCTGCCACTGCCTGTTGTGAACAATGCCTGTGTCTCCTTATAGAGTGTTCACTGGTGTGGTATGAACAGTAAGCATGCAATTAAGATCCCACATAATTAGTTTACTGGTTGATTTCATATTTCTGCCCTCCTCATTTTTTGAGGAGTATAGAGAAAGATAAAAATAAAAATTTGGTATAAATACGTTCAAGAAAATACAAGGAAAAGGTGCAGTCATTGCACCCAAGAAATTGACATTAATTGTAGAGAGAGACACACACTCATAGAATTTCATTGTAGTATAAAATGTTCTTAATAGAAGAACAGAGACTGGTTTTCTCTATGGGGTCAGTGTAGTCTTTCTACAAGAAATGACACTTGGAGTGAGATAGTAAGAGGATGAATTAGAAATCACCAGGCAGACAAGGGAATAAAAGCATTTTGTAAAGAGGGACTAATATATATGAAAAATAAAAACCAAAAAGGCATGATTTGTTCTGGAACCTAGAAGGAACTTGGTATTGCTGGAGCTTTAAGTGGTGGGAAGGACTGGTTATAGAGAAAGGCAGGGACGCTCATGAAGGGCCTAGTTTCTTATGAGACACTGGGGAGCTATTGAAGGATTTTAATTGGGGTACATTATATAGTAGGAATTGTGATTTAGAAAGATGTTGCAATAAAGGGCAATAAAGATAGATAGTAGGGGAGTTGAATTAGTAAGGACTCTCATAGGATGTAAATAAAAACTATTGGTGAAGATACAGGGATATATCAGAAGCCAAGGGCTTGAATGCAGACATATCTTAAGAATGTAGTTAAGAACTAGGAAATAGACAGCTGTCAAGAACCCTGGAAACACTTCTTCCCCCATCTCTTTTCTTGTCTCTGTTTACCTTCTTTATTCTCTCTCCTTACCGACTTTTTCTGTTACTCAGTTTATATGATAAAAGATGGCCCAGCCACAGTTTCTGTGTCTCTCCATTTAAAAGACCAGGCTAGACTGGGATCGGTTGGCCCTTAGGTTCAAATTCCTAGGAGTGCAATCCTGGCCAAGGTTAAGTCAGGCAGAAACCCTTAGTTCAGTCAACCAGTCATAGTGAGGGACACAAACGTGGCTGCCAGTGCTTCACCACGGTGACCTTTCGATCAGATTTGGGTATTTTCAGGGAAAGGGAACACTTATTTGCTGAGCAGACACTGAATGCTTTCTGTAATAAAGTGAAAGGGTGTAGCTAGGCTAAGGAAGTGGGAACAGTCAAAGGTACTCTCACAACCTGATTGGGTGCTGGTGCTGTGATCTGAATTCATATTTAGGGATGTTGATTTTGAAGTATCTGGAACATCCAGGTGGAGCTATCTGGTAGGCAGTTGTATACATGGCTTTGTAGCTTGGGGAGAGGTTGGAGGTTAAGATATATTGATTAGAGATCATGTGTAAATACAACATGGAAGTGAATGACTTAGGGTGATGATATAGAATGAGGAGAGAAAGGACCATGGATGAGGGAATACTAGCAGGAGAGAAGAAAAGGTTTGTGTAGGACCCAAAGAGAAGAGCCAGGAGAGCCAAAGCATCAAAACCAAGAGGAGAGTTTAAAAAGGGAGGAGTGGTACAATGTCGTGTGCAGATAAACAAAGTAAGGTGCACTTGAAAGATGGTGCCTGGAGTTGTCATTGAGAGCAGTGTCAGCGGAGTGATGAGAGTAGAGCCAGGTACAGTGAGTTACTGGGAAGTGAAGAAATGAAGACAAGTGCAAGCCTACTGATGGACAGCTTGGATTACAGAGAAAGGAAAGATTTAAGAATGTTTATAGGCTTAGAGGTAAGATCCTATAGTAAAAGGGAAGTGATAAAAAGCAGATGTAGGGCCGGCCAAGTGGCTCAATTGGTTAAGAGCTCGCTCAAGAGTGTGAGCTCTGAGGAACAGCAGTTAGATTCCTGGCCCAAGCTGAGCTGCCGCTGAGATGGCTCAGCTTAAAAAAAAAAAAAAAAGCAGTTGTAATTGAGGGAGTCGAGACTAGGGAGGGAATGGGTAAACAAAGAATGGTATGTCCATACAATGGAGTATTATTTAGCCATAAAAAGGAACGAAACTACAATTTGGATGAACCCCATAAACATGCTAAGTGAAGGAAACCAAATACAAAACGTCACGTTTGTGTGATTTTTTTTTTTATATGATATATCCAACATAGACAATTCCATAGAGACAGAAAGCAGATTGGCTCGTGGTTACCAGGCGATTAGGGGAGTTGGGGGAATAGGGAGTGATTACTTAATGGGAATGGGGTGTTTTTCTGGGGTAGTGAAGAAGTTTTGGAACTAGAGAGGTGGTGGTTGCAACATTGTTAATACAGGAAATGCCACTGTATTGTACACTTGAAATGGTTTATGTGTTGTGTGAATTTTACCTCACTTAAAAAAAGTCTAGGTAGAGCAATTGAATTTTGAACTGGAAGGAAGACACTCTAGGGTCAAAGGTACAAAATTAAGTACAGATATTGGTAACTTTTTAAGCGAGGTGTTGGGCTAAAAAGTTGTGATTGTAGTTTAAGCCCCATGGCCTTTTGTTTCTCAAGGAAGTTGGAAATGTGCTCATCTGTTCAGAGTGAGGAAGGAGGTGAGCTGGGTGAGTTTATTAGAAAGTAGCCAAGTTTTAGCATGGGAGAGATGTCTTAGTTAAAACAAGTGAAAGGATTGGCATTAATGTTCCAGCTAGAAATCTTCAGACGTAGCAAAGACCCCTCAATATCACATCCTATTTTGGGGGTGTGTGGGAGTGAACTTCCAAGCCTATTTTCTGTTGACTTCATTCTTAAAGATTCTCACAGTCCTGATTTCCCATGTATCAATACCTGTTTTTATCAGACAAAATTGATTTTTCTATCATCTGTCTCCTTTAATTCACAAAAGTTCTGCAGATTTCAAGAAACTTATTTCAAGCACCTACCAAGCTATCTTCGCTCAGTTCTTAATTCTGTTTAAATAATATTCCTTTCTTAAGCTTTTCTTTGTTATTCAGCCTTCTTTATATATACAGTACTTAGTTGTTGGTATTTTTTGTCATGCTTAATATCACTGAAAATAGCCTCTGGCTCACAGGAATAACTTCGTGTGGTCTTTGTTGAGCTTCCCGGGCTCTGCAGCCAGTTTCTAGGGCTATAATACAGGCTCAAAGGTGACAAGATGGTGTAGGAAGCAGGTGATGAAGAGTGTTAATTACAAATGTTGAAAATGGGATTTACTTTGATGCTCCCATCTTTAAAAAAATAACAGCTTTATTGAGATATAATTCACATAACATAAAATTTACTCCTTAAAAGTGTGTAATTCAGGGCCCTTTCCCTTTGCATCTATTAGTTTACCTTTGGTTGTTTAAATTATTGCCATAATGCTCTGGGGCTAAGCTCCCTTAAAACTGGAATGATTTTGAAAAGAAGTATGGTTTACCCTTTTGAAGGAGCACAGCCTCTCTGTCTGACCGTTAAAGCAACTGTGTTCTAGAAATTCATCCTACTTCCGTAGTTTCCTTTTATATACTTTCTAAAATTTTTAGCTGAAAAGTCTAAACGAAAGGGGAAGGAGAAACTTGAAGTTTTGTTTTCGTGGATCTTTGTGTGTGATGATTTTATTTTACTTACAATGATAGGAGTTTGCTCTCGAGAAAAATGTAATGATCATAGAAATACAGAAATCAGTCTATATTCAGTCAGATCATATTCCATCTCTTCACAAGTAAGTGGTGATGGCCTGACTTAACAGTTGAGTTCAGGCCGCTGTTATAATTTGAACTGAGAATATATCGGGTGTCTGCTTCAGGTTCCAATACATACGAAGAAGCAGCTGCTTACATTCAGTGCCAGTTTGAAGATCTGAACAGAAGAAAAGATACCAAGGAGATCTACACCCACTTCACCTGTGCCACAGACACCAAGAATGTGCAGTTTGTTTTTGATGCTGTTACAGATGTCATCATTAAAAACAACTTAAAGGAATGTGGACTCTATTGAAGAGCATGGATGTCGATAAAAGGTAAAACTTCGAACAATTTAGTCACAGAGCTGTAGTGATGTTTCTTGACTTTATAAACTTCCTCTAATTTAGAATGTTCTTCTTTTCTAGTTGTGACAGTGTGGAGTGTTGAGACCAGACTTCTCTTGCTGTCTCAGTGGGCAGCTGCAAGCATGAACGGGACCAGGGAATGGCAGCAGCATGCAGAATCTTAGCACTCTTTAGCACAATATTCTGTATTAGGGAATTCTTAATTGACACGAGATGCTAAAGTCAGACATTGGAATTGGAACAATTGTATGATTCGCTCGTCAAGACATCGCTTTGATTTCATAATTGCACATGTTTAGGGCAGATGTGAAATTGAGGTGCTGCATTCCAGAATTTCAGTATGTAGCTTAACTCTTTATTTTTTTTCCTTCTTAACAGACCACCAGTAATTCATTTTTAAAGTTTTTTTTTCATCAAGAATAACTTTACAAAATTTTATTTCTTTGTTTGCAAAAGAATCTTTATTAAAACACACAGTCTTAACTATGCACATGATATGACCGGATCATCTTGAAAATATTCCTCTTAGTAGGAACTCTTCGTTTTTAACTCTTGGTATGGTCAGAATGTTATATTTCCATAATTACTTAATTCTTCATAGTTATTGGGGCTATAATTATGGCTTTTTTGGATGAAATTTATGTTACTATCCTGTCAAAAGTACCATTATGGTTTCTAGATGGTATTACATTGGAGAGTTCTGTAATAAGATTCTAGCTCTCTTTTTTTTTTAAGCTTAGGGTTGAAAGTTAACTTGATTTAAGTTGATTACTAGATAAATGCTTCTGTAGTATGATAAAGTCAGCTTCTTGGATACAGACACACCCAGGGCATCTGCCACTCAGAAATGTAAATTGCTAAATTTCAAAGAGAACCAGTGACTTTGCTGCTACATATCTACTAATTGACCGCTTTGATTCTTGCTCGTTTGTCTCAGTTGTAGGGAGTTTTATAAAAGATGCCCCTCGTTTTTCATCTTCCATGACCTTTTCTGTTGGAAGCATCTAAAGCGCATGCTTTTACTTTGTAAATGTGGTGCCAAATCGCTGTTTGCCATTGTTTTTATTGTAGCAATGTTAATTGTAGTAACCCTTAGTACCTTCTTTTGCCGAAACTGTTGCATTTTGGGACCTTTTCCAGTTTGTCGTGTGTACAGATTTAAATCTGTTATAGTTGGCAGCAGTTATTAAAATGGTGAGTAAAGAGTCCAGGTTTGTTCCTGTTTGTAACTAGTCCTTTCTGGAAATATTTTCCCCTGTTTCTTTTAGCCCCTGCTGAGTGTGCTTTTGGCCTTTGTCTGAGAATGGGGTTAAGCAGAAGGGTTGGTTCCCTGGAGGTCTCGTCTTTTGGTGTAATGGTATTGTTGAATCTTGGCCAGACTGAGGGTCTTATGTCCTGTCTATGTAAGTGATCTGCAGTCCTAACCCGGTTTCCAGATTGACATTTTGGTTGTGTGGAGAGCTATGTTCACCTCAGCCTGCAGGTCCTTTTGTACAATGTACAGCAAATGTCATGAAATACCGAACATTCCATTGGGGGAAGGCGAATGAAGAGAATGCATTTTGAGCATTCCGTATCAGTAGTCTGAGCAGTGCCTTTCGGGGTCCAATCTTTTAGGATTGGGTTCTAAGTCGTCTTTGGATGCAACCTTTCACTAGTTTAAAAGAAAAAAAAAAAGTTTGATGGTCATCAAAGCTGGTTCAAGAAAGCAAGCCACAGTAGTTCAGTGCCTTTATCGGTAGGTGTTTTTTTTTTTTTCTTATCCTTTTTGGAAAAGTTTAACTATGCAGATGGTAAACTGTATTATCTAACAAAATTTTTTTTTTAGGGTTGGAAAAACTGAATCTAAAAGAAATTATCAACTTCAACTGGTGATTGATTTACGCCCACAATGTAAAGAAATAGGGTTGATAAGTTCTTGTTCATTTTGAATAGATCTTTTTTCCTTATTGTATTCTGTAATATAGGATCATCTGGAAATGAGAACTGGTTTAGTGTTGTTTTAACTGTAGCCTTTCTGTAGTATGGGTTAATGGGATGGTGATATTGATAACCCAAAACAACAGATTATCAAAAAAAGTTAATTTTACTTTGAAATGCATTTTATATTTTCATTTGAATACATCTATCTGATCTGTTCATTTTTTAGCTTTTCTGTTAGTGAAAAATAATTCTCCACTTTTCTGCCTCTACACTATTTACACTTTTTCTGTGTTTACTTGAAGATCATCTCCTGCCCCATGGTCCCAAATAACTTACCTAAATGCACATTCCTTGAGGACATAGGGACACAGTTTAAGGCCGTGATTTTCAAATATGCCTTACGTCAAAATCACCTGGCTCCATCTCAGAGAACGATTTTTGGCCAGTGGGCTGGCAGTTTGTAATTTTAAAAAGGTTATTCCAATCATCAGCCTTGCAAATGACTATCACATTTTGAAATAAAAGATTTTTTTCTTATAGCAGAGCCAGTTTGTGGGAATGAAACACCATATTTACTAGCCTGAAAGAAAAAGGAATGATATTTGTAATCAAAGAAACTCAAAAGTTTCCTTGTGTCTTGTCTGTGGAGAATATTGGAGATTTGTGATGGATCACGTTTCAGAATTCAGGTGGTCAGGCTTTGGACCATCTAAGAAATCAGCACATATAAGAAAATTAAATTTTAATTAATAAAAAATAAGACCCCAGCAGGAAGGACTGCAATGCTAGCTTTCTTTTGTTGACAGTCATATTTTCTCCACCTGATTAAAGCCTTGGGCTGTAGAATTGCCATCCTTTAGGCTCTATGTAAAGAGGAAGTACTTTGCTCCTAGTCTTCCTAACCTTATAAAATTCAGCCTTGCAACAGATTTCACCTCCTGCCATGAAAATTCCAGAAACTTTTACAATGATTCATAAGTGGATCTTGAGATGACATTTTCATCTTAGACAGTTTGATGTCTAAATCGAGTTCATTGTATCATTTCATTACTTTCACTGATGGATTATTTTTCACAAGGTGCTGCATTATAAGAATAGATGGACCAAATTTTTAAAAACTGTTCTCTTGTTTATTTTTTATTCTCTGATGTATTCTATTTGTGTTTTATTATATGCACATTTTGGAGTATTTAAAAATAACTGCTGGTTCATTTGCCCACTGTATATTCTTGTTCTCCGATTTGTAGCTCTGACTTTCTTTGCACGTTGCTTGCCTGGCCTGACTAGTTACTTCATATATTTATCGATTTGCTTAGCATAGTTCTGGAGTTTGCCGTTGCAGAGCTCCTTGCTGTACTGGCAGTTACATAAAAGGTAAACTTAGTCTCATTCCAGTTAAACCCTGCCTTTGATTTTTTTTTTTCCCCTTCCAGATGTTAAAAAAAAACAAAAAACAAAAAACCCCCCAGCCTTCTACTCATTTACAAAAACCTAAGACAGCACTAATTCCCTTTACTCTTATTACTTGTGAAATCTTTCATATGTGATACTGACTTTAAGAACAAAGTTATCTCAGTTTCCCAGTACTGCCTGGTAGTTTTTGTATTCTACTTCAGGCTTCATAGTACAAATGAGAGATCTGACTTTGGACCAGCCACAGCTCTCCACATAGTTTCATGGCCATCCAAACACCGGAGAAAACTAAGCTCTTTGAGGCTTGAATTTGAGAGCTGATCTTGCTGTCAATTCTCAGAAAATAAAAGAAAGATTAAGCAAGGCACTGGAGAACTAACTGACTTCCAGGATGGTTGAGATCTTTGTTTCTATACCTTTGTTTAGGTTTAAACAACCCCCCTCCCCCCAATTGTCTCATAACCTTTTATGAGTTACTTTTGCTGAGGAGACCATACTTTCAGAACAAGTCAGGGCAGGACAGTTTATCTCTGATACTGTGTCAGGCCTAGATGTAGCCTGACTCAAGTCTTCTCAGGAATAAGAGATAGTAAGGAATGTTATTCAGGAGTAGATACCTGAGATGGAAGATTAAGATACATAGATTCCTTGGCTAAACTACTGCATGTCTAGATATCTGAGGCAGGTCCTGAGGGTATGTGTTTTTAAATAAATTCTTCAGGTGTTTCTGATGCAGCTAACCTGGGCCAATATTTGGGGACAACTGAATAGGACCTAATATTAAAGATCAACACAAATAGTAGACAGATAACCTCAAAATCACTAGTGAACAAGCTAAGTTATTTTTTATTTGCCAATAAGAAGCGCCTTTTGTACATGACTTAAAGTGCCTTTCTCCAAAAAAATTACTGTGAGGACTGTTTGGTCAAAGAACATGCCTACATTTTAGATACAGAGTATTTAGTTTTTATATAAAATTAAAACAAGAAATGTGGGGTTTCCAAACGTTTATTTAATTTATTTCACTGCATTTGTTTTTGCAGTGAAAATTAAAAGGTACACACCAAAGATAAAATCCTGTGACAGAGGTAACAGTATATACATTAATAATAACATGACTGTTCATTCAGTTGGTGGGTAAAGAGCGAAGCTAGCTAGCCTAAACCATGGAATGAGAGTGTTTTTGAGAGGGCCTGGGAGGGGTAGGTAAGGGGAATGATTGAGGAGTCAAATATTAAAGGCTTTGTGTGCCCAGTTTTCTCTGCCTGAAATCAAGTGGGAATCAACAAGGTAGCAGAAATAATTAAATATTAGTAAGTACACTACTGGGCTACACTGTCTCGGTGTATCAGCATTCAAAGCTTTAAGATCTTTGACAGTTAGAATATTAAATTATGTACAACCTGATTTATCTATCTCCTATCCTTTACTCTCCCCCGCCTGCGCCCATATTCCTTTGGGTTATCCAAACATGTTGACTGAGAGGCTTATTGATATGTATGAGAGATTCCTAGTAGACATGACAAATTGCAGGAAATTACCTGTTCTTTCTAACTATTCATTCTGTTGCTCATGTAGGGTAAAGGCTGAGACCCCTCAGAATCTTACCAAGTTGGAGAGTTGTTTGGCACACTTCCACAACTTCCTGATGACCTCCACCAGCTCGGGGGCATGGTGCCCTCCTCAGTGGAGTCAGCCAGGTTGTTGAGCTGTCTTTTCCCTGCTCCCAACTCGTTATGAAATTTTCCAGTTTTACACCCCTCATGTGTTACCTAAAGACGGACTTAGTTATTCATTCCAGCTATGATGTTGTGGTTCTCATCAAATAGGAATGACATTTAAAAGTGTTTTTTTGGTAAATATTCATGATACTCAAGATTATACTGCACTACAAAAAAAGCAATCTCCTAAATCAGTACCAACGAATGTATTCATTGTAGCTGGTTGTCTTCTCAACACCACTTCCCATATTCATTTTGAAGACCTGAAATGAAGTTCAGCTATAAATTGCTCTAATATTTGTGAAGCAGGATAAAAAGGTCTTTGTTTATCATTTAAATCCAGTTCTTTATTTTCTATTGAGACTAGTGCTTACTTTTTCATAGCCAAAGGGCAGAAATTTCCCTTTTGCAATTTGCAGTGTGTCTGTCTGACTTCACAGAAAAGTCTTCACACTTTTACCTAGCAGGACCACCAGAGGCTTCGGCACACTTGCAGCCCCTGGCCCAACACTGAAGTCCTGCTGGAATCTGTGCTCCAGGGGCTGTGCCGGGTAGAGAGGGCCATGGGAGGTAAGAGCTCTTTACCCTTCACCACCCTCGCCACCCAGCATGGCCGGCACACTTTGGTCTACGCCACATCTCCAAGTATAGAGTGGGTTTTGAATGCTTGGGGATGGGTTACCCTGATTTGGACTTTTTGGGGTACATGTAAATGAATTTTTTTTATCAGTGTAGAAACTTACAAGTCACTGTCTTTTACATTCCTTTTAAGACTGAATTTTTGTGCTGCTTTCATCGATCCTTTTATCCACAGAAATATAAAAGCACATTTCCAATTATATTATTTTTTTCCATGTTTTTTTTTTGTGGTAAAATACACACAACATAAAATTCACCATTTTAATCATTTTAAAGTATATATAATGGTATTAACTGCATTCACATGTGGCGCAATCATCACCACCATCTATCTCCAGAACTGTTTTCATCTTCCCAAACTGAAACTGTACCCATTCAACACTAACTCTTCCTCCCAGCCTCTGGTAACCATCACTCTTATAAAGTTGACTACTTTAGGTACCTCATATAAGTGAAATCACACAGTATATGTCGTTTTGTGTCAATCATATTGTACTTTTGTAAAAAAAAAGTAAATGTCATCAGATTTACATGTGAAGTGAAACCTAATTTACATTTGTTTTACTGTCATCAGTATCTAATCTTGCGGTGCAAGGGACTGGCACTGTGGTCTCTGCCCTCTAAGGTTATGAACAGGAAATTAAATCTTAAAGCTATTTCTATTTTTGTTATTTTATGCTAATTTCACATTTCAAGACTGATTTGTATTTAGTTTGGAGATGATTTTGTTAAATATCTATGAATTAGAGAAGGTATAATTAAAAAATAAGAACTTGGTTATGAATGGGGAGAGCTTAGGAGAATGAGAAAATTGGCTTTGACTTTATATGTAGTGTATGGTGGGCTGTCGATAGCATGGTGCATATAGAAAGACCAATGGCTTTTGATTCAGAAGACCTGTTTTGGAGTTCTTGTTCTGCTGCTTCCTAGCAGTGTGATCTTGATAAAGACACTCCACCGCCCTGGGCTCTGTTTTTTATCTATAAATCGCTAGTGATTGGTCTGGAATGTTTTTGAATTTCTTCTAGCTTTAACATTCTAAGAACTAAGATTGCAGTTCATGAAAAATAGGGTTGAATATTTGTTTCTGATCTACCTTATTACAAAAAATTTCTGATGACTTATAAAGGTACGTAAAATTCAACAGTATAGTTAGTGTAAATTTGAAATGAAGCAAAAGAAGATAAAGACAGCAGAGTGCGTATATTGCTTAGTTTTGGTTTTAAGCTTTCTAACTGCCATTTTATGCAAAGAGAAGTTTTCATGTGCACTAACCAAAAAGTCCATGAAAGAAAAATAAGCCAATTGCGGAGAAGAACCAGTGCACTTTGTCTCGAGCTCTAACAGTGTAAGGTTTGGGAACCACCCTGGGCCTGACAAACAGCTGGCGTTAGGATGAATGCCTTTTGTGGAAGCCTGTCCAGAGCATTTGAGGTGAAGTTCCCTTGCCTTTACTCAGAGGAGAGCCCAGTGTTGGCCAAGCGTTTCAGAAAATTATTTTGACTGTTCTAAGTTACAGGTGAATAGATGACCAGGGCCCCAAAGTTTTATCCCATGTAGACTTGCCAGAAGAGTTTGAGCTTGAACACATTGTAAGATGAATAACCAGATCCTAACCTCAGCAGAGCAGCCATAGAACACGGTTGCTTTATGCGCTGCTGCTTCCCCATCCAGACTCCAAAATTAAACCTTTTATAAAGTGTTCATACGAGGCGGCATGTGCGAGTTTATACACCAGTTAAAAGTTGGGATGTCTCCCAGAGAGGAAGAGGAGAACTAAAATACACCCCTGTTTTAGTCTGCTAGAGATTGTTCTATCAGAAGACCTACCCCACTGGCTCTGTTTTCATGCCAGTACTATAGGGTGGGTTCTATATGCACATCGATAACCAAGGAGCCTGGGTTAGGCCTTCATAGTTTGGCCCAAAACCAGTTCCTGCCCAGAGTCAAAGATCAAGGAAAAGTTAATAAACAATTAGATAACTGAAAATACGGAGTACCTAATGATTAATAATTGAGGAACTGAACAATTGGTGATAAGTACTGTGATGGAGATCCATAGGAACCAACTGTGTCCAACAGAGGACAAACTGAGGATGTTAGAAAAGGCCTCTTGAAGGGGATAGAAACATTTTGTTTTGTTCAGCACAGTATTTCCACCTAGTTCAGTAAATTTTTTATAAAAAGTGAATGGAATGTGTGGTATGCCAGGCAACTCTGAAAATAAACATAATGGAAAATTAGAAACAATCTGGTATGATTTGGGGGAAAGTGGGGCTATGCCATTTGAAGATAGAACAAATGGGATAAATGACGTTTGGAGCCTATATAGACAAGGTCATGGTATAGCAAGGATTTTTAACCTGGAGCTTCAGATCAGCAAAGATAGAACTGTATTCAGTATGTTGGTTTTCTTTGTAATCTCTGAATTTTATGTTTTTAAATATTCTGAGAAAAGGCTCATAGGTTTCACCAGACTGTCAGAGGGATCCGTGATACAAAAAACTAAAGACTCAGAACCCCTGTCTGTTGTGTTACAGCAAACAGGTTAGTGATGGTTGGAACATGCCGTTTAGAATCGTCCCTGAATAGCTCTTGGATGCGAGTATTGCCTAGGTTTTTTTCTTTGGCTTAAGCTTTTTAATCGGCAGTGGGCAAAGTAGTTTCCCTTATTTCTCCAGTTATTCTCCCAAGTTGGTTTCTTTTCAAGGAATTAGAAAGACTATTAAATGAATCCAATTTTAACAGCTGCAGATTTATTCTTCAGTGTATTTCAAGCTCATATGGCTTCCTAGTATCAATATTGCTAGTAGCAGCCTAAGTGTGACTGTGTGTTTCTGGCAGGGAACATATTTTCATTTTAATTGACTCTTTTATATACTAAATCTTGATGCCAAGAGCCTTCCTCACTGGTAGTTGTAAATGCTAAATCTATACTTGACTTCACCACCTCCTGTCAAGATAAACACAAGCTTCATTTCCCCTCAAAGGAGTTCAAAGGAATAATTTTCTTATTGGTCTGTTAGAAGAGATGTTTATAGCCAGGCATCACATGGACCCAACTGCAAAGATTTTTATTGCCCAAAGCAAGATCAGCTACCTTATTTGTTCTCCTGAAACATGAAGCAGAGAATTGTAGGATTGCTCACTTACTCTAAATTCTGTGATAGAGAAGTGGCAGCAATAAACTCAGTATAGTAAGTGGGGGTGTGTTGATGTCTTCCAAGTTGATTCCAAAAGTGTCTTGTACAGCTTAGGGAACAGGTACTTACAGAGACAAAGGAAACTTAGGCTTTTGGACAGTTTGTAGGCTGAGGGATAGCCTATGATTAATAAAGCTGATTGTTTTTAGATATGGACCTTAGAAACTAAGAAACTCACATCTATTTTGTGATCCAGATCTCTGAGCTAAGACACATAGAGGTCTGTTAGTAAAAAGGGGTGGTAGGTTTATTGAGGTTTTGTTTTTACTTGTTTTGTTTTGTTTTGCTGTTTTGCTTGGGATAATTCATCTAAAAACCTGGTGTTGAATTTCATAAATGGCAGTTTTTAGATAGGAATTCTTTCTGTGACTAGCCTTTACGTGTCTTTCCTTCAGTTTTGTTTGTAATCATCAGCACAACCCTGTAACGTGGTAGAGAAGTTATCTTCATTTTATAGGTGAGGGACTCAAGACTCCGAGAAATGAAGTATTTACATTTTGGAGTAAGTTGTAGAACCATTACTGGAACCTGGGTCTTCTGACCCCTGGCCTTCTGCTCTTTAAACTGCACTAGCTAGCCCGCTTTGAAAAGAATGTGTGAGGCACAGTTGCAATCATGCATACTCCCATTTCCAAGGGAGAATGCATTCGCCATGCCATGGTATATTGACCTGTAATTTTCTGCTTGAAATTACCCAGATTCCAAGCCTGTTTATAGATGGTATACTTGAGAAATGATGAGGGTTAGAAGAGCCCGCAGTCCTTGAGGTTTTCTTTGATGATAATGTCTGTAACTGCATCAAATACAAATTTGACATTTTGGGTGTCTGTAGCACAGGTCATGTGACTGTAGATTTCTTTGACGTCTTTTCGCATGTTGAGGTCAAGGAACTGACTCTTGATATAATTCCCTGCATCCTCATAAGAGTTGTTCCCTGGTTTTCCAGAAAAATAGTGAAGAAGTGGGATAAATTAACCCTTCTTAGTTGCTCACTTACTTTTTAGGTGACTGACTTGATTCTCAAAATGCTGTGTTAGATAGCTGCAGTTGGGGGGCCTGCTTTTGGAGGGAGGGTCCTCTGTTGCACTTAAACAGAGAAATTGAGGAGAGAGGTAGCTACTCGTAGGTCTCCACCCTTCGTTTCTGGTAGGTATCATTTTAATAGTTGGTGGCTATTTATTTAATGCCTGCATTTAATGCCTGCTCTATCCCAGAGACATGAATTTAAACCTACAACTGAATTCCTCAGATTAGACATCCCAAGTATCACTTGGACATCACAAAGCTCATAAGAGGAATGAGTATTAAAGGGATAAAGGATCATCAGCTCTGCAAAACAAAAGAGTTTCACTTAGTTCCTTAAAGCCAAGTTCCTTTTTGTCTCCTTGGTATAGGAAATGAAGCAATCACCAGTCATTACTAAGAAAGCATTACCATTGTCTCCAGCCCTTTACACTTACCATCATACTCTGGAAAACAAATGCTCAGATGGACTTTCTTGATTTTTTCCTCAAAGAGGTCCTTCTTGTTGAGAAAGAGAACAATGGAAGTAGCGGCAAAGAACTTGTGGTTACATATGCTGTTGAACAGGTGCAACGACTCATGCATACGATTCTATTAAGAGGAAATACCATCAGATCAGATTGGGCTTATGGAAGTATGTGTCTACCTCGTGTTCTTGCAGCGACTAGTGCTCCAAATGTAGAAGGAAAGGTAGAGAATAGCTTCTCTCTTTTTAGTGTGGTGGAGCAGTAAAGCCAAAGAAATCTGGTTTCCTTCTGATCCTCTTTCTGTCATAATTGTGTGACCTGGGAAAAATTATCGAGCTTTTCTGAGTCTCAGCTTCCGTATCTCCTAGCGTTACTATGAAAGTTAAGTGAGGTCAGGCATATAGAGAGGCCGTGATCATGGCGGCATCTAGGTGTACAGTAAATAGTATGCAGATCTTAGCCAGGACACAGCTAAGGACTTTGACATCCATTCGTGCTGCTGAAACAGGGTTGAAATGGGGCCTGAGTTAGCCTGTGCCCATTTGCATCTCCAGGATGACTTTGATAGGCTTCTGTTAGAGTCCTGGATCTCAGTTTGGGCAGGAACATCGTAGGGATTCTTTGGCCCTGGTGCCTAATGGTGAGGGCTAGAGAATTTCCCAGTGCCACACCACGAGCACTTCCTTCCTGATTGCCACTTTGAACAAGTAAGAAAAGGTGCTACTTATCTGCAGAGTCCAGAGGTTGCCCAGTGCCCCAGACCAGCCTGTTTTCAGGAAACAGGCTTTTAGGGTCTTGAAGTATGCTGGTAGCTGACTTGGGCTCAATCTTTTCAACTATAAAAACAAATCTAACATGTAGCGTTTCTCATTGCTAATAACGCCTGCAAAACCCTTTAAGACCTCTAAAACTTTTGGGCTAAAGATGGAAGAGATCTTGGAAAATGAATGGCCCTGTAAGACATTTTGGCTAGAAGAAACTTAGCATGCTCTAATATGAACTTGAACTACTAAGGAGAAGGGAGAAGAACTGTAGCAATGGGTAGGAGGATAGAAGCCTTGTCTTCTATCAGTAAGCTGTGGGCCTCCATTTATGGAGCAGATGCTTATGTGAAATGAACGTAATCCATGCCTTTGACATCTTATCTCAAACTTAGAAGGTAAATGGCTGGGCTGACACTTGTCCTGCAAAGCTCCTGTCTTGTAAAACTACAGGCTCAAGAGCATCACCCTCAGGTAACCTTCCAGCTGCTAATTTAAGTGGCACGTGAGAAACCTGGTTTGCCATGTCTCCTTAATCACTCAGTGGATATTTAGGCTTCCAAGTGAGGTTTAGTAATTCAGCCCCTCTATCATGTTGCATAAAGATACACGTCACAGTGTATTTTCTGCTCTTATTTTCATCTATCCTTCACTTCCATAGGCAGCCTGGGAGAGTACTAAGTGTAACTCCTTTGCTTTCCCGAGTTGATAATCCCTTATCCCTTTAATACTCAGTTCCTTTTATGAGCTTTGTGCTTTCCAAGTGACACTTGGATGTCTAATCTGAGACCAAGCTCCCTCACTAAGTCTGGAGCTCTAAAGTGCTAACCTAGGACCAAAGAAGAGGTTTTTGTAGAATTATTTGCCCAAGATATTGATTAGTCTGCTAGAAGACTGCTAGACTGTCAGTGTTGGCCGAAATCACCCAAGTTAGGGCATTAGAGTGACGCTAAGCTTCGAGGGAGGGGTCATGGGGGAACTATCAAGGATGCTCAGTGCAAAGGCCACTCACCACTTCGTCATCTTCCACGAGCACCATGTCATAGGCACTGAGGGCTGCACAGAAAATGATGCAGGTGACCCCCTCAAAGCAGTGGATCCACTTCTTTCTCTCTGATCTCTGCCCTCCCACATCAAACATCCTGAGGGAAGAAATAGCTGTTTCATAGGTATGCCCAGCTTATGAACTACATGTGCTCGATGTTTACCCCCAGAGAGGTGGCCACTTGGGGGCCAGTTAGCAGCAAGATTGTAAGTGGTGGGGAAAGGGGGAGAAGTAGGACACTAAGTCTGATTGGGCTTTAGTGAAAGGCAAGAAGCACACCCATGCCCTTTTTTCATATTGGAGGTGCCCCCAGAGAACCAAATGGGTATCTGTGGTGCCTTTTGGGGACCATGTACTCACCTGAAATTCAAGTCTTTGACGCAAAACTTGGTCTCAATGATGCCTGTGGTTTTGACTCTGGACCGTAGCACATCTTGCTCATTAGGGAGGTAGTCAGGGGCAGTAATGCGCTCTAATTGGTTCAGGTAGCTAGAGGAAAGTGGCACTGATGACATTAAATTTTCTACAGGCCAAGGAAGGTAAAGAGTCTTACCCGAAATCATACAGCTAACTTGGTGGTAGAACCAGGACTAGAATCCATAGTGTTAAATCTAGGATTCTTGCTTTCAAATTCTCATATGTCCTTCCAAAAGGAAGTGTGGGATGGTCCAAGGGCCAGGCCCCTTTGAGTCAGGGGTTCCGCTCCATATAAGTCAGATAACTTTTCCTTGCATTTCGCCTGGCTACAAAGTTGTCTAGACCCTTGAATGAGATTCAATGGCTAAAATGGGTACCAAAAGTTCTGTCAAGAAGCAGGAGTAGATTAAAGAGACTATAGAGACATATTAAGACATGAATCACTGCAATGCATGGGCCTTGTTTATATCCTGAGTCAAGTTGGGAAAACATTTGAGATAATTGGGGAAACTTGAATGAACACTGACTTGGATATCGGATGACATTAGGGATTATTAAATATTTAGGTGTAGTGATTATGTTGCGATTTCCTTTTTTAAGAGTCCAATTTTCAGAGGTACAGCATTTTTAGGACAAAGTGATAGGATAGCTGGGATTTACTTCACAATAATCCAGTGGGAGATGCAGAGAAAATACAATGGCCCTGGGTTGATAACAGTTGAAGCCAGGTGACTCATTGTATTTTTCTACTCTTGTATATGTTTGACAGTTACCATAAAAAGTGTAAAAAAGAAGGTGGAGACAGGAGGAAGGCAGATGTGAAGTGAGGTGACAGAGAAACAGGGAAGGGAAATAACACAAGTGCCTACTGTATGCCAGGCATTTTCACGTCTAAATTCTCGTTTAACCACCTAAGACTGAGTTTCATATCCCGTTTTACAGATAAAGGAAACATTCAGAAGAGTTAAGTAACCTGTCCAGGGTCAAGATTGCAGTATATTGGGGGCGAAAAACAAAAAAAAAAACCATTCAACTTTGTGGTCAAATAGACCTGGATTTAAATCCAGCCTTTACCATTTATCTGTATGACTTTGGGCAAGTTAGTTAACTTCTCTGAACCTCAGCTTTTCATCGGTAAATGGGACTAATAAAAAGTACTATCTACCTGAAGGCTTATTGCTCAGATTCTCCGAGATGGTGTACCTGATACACCTAGCAGTGCCTGGGCCTCAGTGAGCGCTCTGGGGACAGTAAAAGATGATAACCTTATTACAAGATTAGGTGACAGAGCAGGGCTAAACCCAGGTCTGCCTGACTGAAGCGTATAGCTGTTTGATACTTTGCTGTGTACCTTATATCTTCGGAACCAGCTTTGCAAAGTTGGTTCTCTCTACTCCCTGACCAACTTCCTTTGGTTTGCTCTGGCGATTTCTGTGCCTCCTGGGAGAGTGGGCGGCAGAACTGCAGGTTCTCTTAGTATTCATGGTTCTGAAAGGAGAGGCTACGTGTATGAATTAACAGGACTGCTAAACAGGGCACCTCCGTTGAATTTTGGGTCTTCAGCTTTGTAGGCTGCAGTGAGCCAGTGAAAAGCAATACAGAGGAGTGGGAACGATGGCAGACACCCTACCTACAGGCATTAAATTCGAAGCACAGTAAAACACTGCTGAAGCTTAACAGAACGGGCATACAGGCTGAATTCAGTCCTGGGGTCTCCAGCTTTCAGGGCCTGCCATTTTAGACGGTATAATTTCTCCTAGAATGTGGCTTGCACCGCATCCCACCCCATCCCCAATCAGTCTTACTAAGGTGCCGAGTCATTGAGCTGGTACTCGGCAGCTCTGTCGAAGCAGGCTTGCACCCCTCCATCCTTCCACAACTTCCTGATGACCTCCACCAGCTCAGGGGGCATGGTGCCCTCCTCAATGGAGTCAGCCAGGTTGTTGAGCTGTCGCCCGTCATCCTGTAAGGCAGAAATCTGGCTGAGAACTACATGAGAGTCATGGCTTTCCAGGAGGCTTCTGGGAATACTGCTGGAAGGAAAGCATTTTGCATTGCTACCAAAGCCTGAAGTGGAGACAGTGTCCAGGGAAGAGTCTATCAAAGAAAACACACTGATTGATTTTTGAGTGGGCTTCTGAGATACAGAGGGTGGCAGTCTATCCAGTCCTGGGGTGGCTAGCAGATAGCAGCCGTCTGTCCCAGGGGCTTCCTCTGTGGAGTTTCCATCTCCCATTCTTAGTCCAAAAGTCTGTCGCCACAAAACATGGGTCCTCTGTTGCAGGGAGACTGGAAGCTTAAAAACCAGATGGACCATGAAATAGACATGATGGCAGACAGAAACCCACCACCTTTGTTTAATTTAGGAAAAGGCCAATAGTGGAACTAGGGATTGAGCTTATAAAAGTTCCATGGCCAGGGCAAAGAGCCCATGGGGAGTGATGTAAATGGGAAAATAAGCCGAAAAGGCAAAAGAAGCTTGAGAGCAGATTTCTGCCAACATTCATCGTAAAGGTAGGAATCGCATACTTCTCAGGACTGAAGATTTGAAGCTCGGCAGGAGGGATTTTAGTTACACCAAACATTTCTGACCCAATTCCTGATAGCTTGTTGGCCACTGGTCTGTTTCTTCTCGTTAGCCCTCCTTTCCACCCTTAACCACGTACCATTAACTACGTACCACACAGCTTGGCTCAGCATAGTCAATGCCCAGTGTGGACATGGCCCGGATGATAGCCAGGATGGACTGCAGCACGTTCCCATAGATGATGGACTTGTACTCCAGGCATTCTTCTGGCGAATAGCCATCCTGATGAATGATCCTGCAAACAGCACACACCTTGCCCTTAGCCGGACCTGAGTAACCAGACTTAAGGGATTGGAAATCTGGGAGGATTTAAAGGGTCATAAGAACCCGATTGCTCTGTTCCTACTGCTGTCCCAAAGTGGAGAGTGAAGGGCGAGGGGCATTGGGTCCTTGATACCCTTTATATCTGGGTTCCTTAAGGCTAAAGAGCCCTTCCTCTGTTCCTCCACTGGCTCTGACTTCTTTGCCCTCCCTCAGTTCTTCAGGGCTTTGTTCCTACTCACTTCATCTGTTTCACGATCGTGCTCTTTCCTGACTCCCCAGCACCTGCAGGGAGAAATGCTTATGCTTCACATTTCCACCAGTTCTCCCCCAGTTCTCCCCAGCCCTCCAGTGAGATGGCCTGTGCTTGCCTGGGAGCTGCGTTAGGGGAGAACGCGTCAGGATGGTTGCTGCCCTCAATTTCTGCCAGCCTTAGGCTCAGGCCATTCAGCCTGGATTTAGAGCAGTTTCTCAAACTCTGCACTGTTGACATTTGGGGCTGGATGACTGTTTCGTGGAGGTCTGTCCTCTGCATTGTAGAGTGTGTAGCAGTATTCCTGGCCTCTACCCACTAGAAGCCAATAGCATGCCACTCTTCCAGTTGTGACAACTCAAAATGTCTCCATGGTGGTGGGGTAGGTGGGGGCAAAAATCTCTTTGAGAATCACTGATAGAGTCAGGAGAATTCCTTTAACACATTTCTCTCATCATTTTTAGGAGAATAATCTTAGGGCAGGATTGGAGAGAGCTTCATCACTTCACTAAAATACTGTGGGGTTTTTTTCAATCACCATGCTGTTACTTTTGACAAAAATGCTCTAATATCCTCATTCACACTCTGCTCTCCTTCCATCCAAAGCCCACCTAACCCTTCAGCCCTCTCCCCGAGTCTGTACTACCCCTGATGCCTTAACCCCTTCCTACTTAGCCTTGGCATGTTCCCTCTAAGCCTCTTAGTCCAGAATGTAGAAGAAAGCTGCTTAGGCTTAAAAGATCTCTCAGTGGCCTTGCTATCTCTCTTCCTCCTCCTGTAGCCTCCTGGGCAACTTGAAGTCTGGGTCCAGCTTACAGAGGTATGCAATTCAGTGTGTCCTTAGGGTCATGCCATAGATCAGTGCGGGGTGGGGAGGGGAGGTGCCTTAGCCTGGGGCTCCAGCTCCCAGGCAGCTTATGGGCTGGAAATGCCGCCTATCCAGCCAGTCTGCTGCTGCATAGACCCCACCTGCTCCAGCTGCCTCCCTCTGTATTGCCACTGGGGTTTGGATTTTTTTTCTAAGCCGGGTGTTCCAAACTATATAGTCTTGGTTTTATGTACAGCCATGATCAATTTCTCTGACCAACCACTGAGGTGCTTTTCTTTTTTCAGCCCAGATCTGTGATTGCTTAGGAGCTCATCCAGTGGATGACCTCCCACCTGTCGCAGGCTTTAGATACAGCTACTGAATGGAAAGGACTGCTGTAGCCGAAAACTCCGTTCCCCGCCCCTCAGGGCTTCCCTACTTCTAAAATTTTTGCTGAAAGCAATGAGAAGGAACCAGTATACTTGGCAATCTGGTCTATCCCTAAGACTCCCTGACTCTGATGATAGGGTAGGACTCTTGAATGCTCTGTCCTTTTCTGAATCCTTGACTCAGTTCTCTGACAGCAGATTGGATCAGTGTCTGCAAGCCTAGGATTCATGGTATTTGCCAAGCTGTTAGGTGTGGTTCGATTTGGAGACAGGAGGGTTGGTCCTGGCCCCTGCGCTGATCCTAGTTTAAGGACGAGCATCCTGCATCTCCCTAGGGCGGCTGCGCTCCACCCTGGAGCTCCTGACCCCTGAGCTTGAGCTCAATGGGGAGAGCAAAGTGAGCTGCCCTCCCTCCTCCCTGTAGGGTGGGCTGAAACCCACCTCCACCCAGGCTAAGTGGGAAGGAAAGGGCCTTCTCTTTCTCTGGCTTATCTTCCCATCTCACTCACCCAGCAGTAGCAGCTTGACCGTCTTGGCTTCCTTGTCAGCATCCTCCTGCAACTTCTTTTCTAGCTCCTTGGACCTCTTGGCCAGTTCTTTGTCCTCAGCACTGATTCCACTCCCCATTGTTCTGCTGTCTCCTCCTGGGCTGCTTCCTACTGCCCTGAAGCTTCTCTTCCAGGGTTTCCTGTCGGTGAGATGGAAGATAAGGAAAAAGTAAATTAGGATCCAGTATCAGGTTCTCAGGCCTCCTAAAAATCTGGCCTGTAGGGGCTGGGTGAGGGAGCAGGCTGCAGGTTCTTGTCCCCGGCCTGTCTTGGCCAAGACTCCTACCCCAGCTGGAGACCTACTTAGCCTGGGGATTGAAGCCTTTATATCTAGCAGTGTGATGGGCTAAGCCTATTAAGAGCTCAGTATGACAAAGGGCAGAGAGACTCAAGTGTTTCTGTGACTAGGAAAATGATCTGCTGGATTCTGACACAGGGAGACAGGATGTGGATACTGGAACTCTGGAATAAGATAGTGGCCGCCCCTGTCTTTTGAAGGGCTGATCCCCTAAAAGTCGGTTCCTCCGATTCACCTGCATCTCAGCTAGAGATTAGAGGCAGATTCTAGGGTTTTGGCTTCAAGGGCTTCAAGGCATCAAAGTGCACCCCTCCATCATAGCAGGCCAGTCTTGGCAAGGAGTTTTTGTTTGAGGTGGTGCCCTTCCTTGGAAAGATAAGACGTGTGTCTTCCGGCTCTTCCAGTGGCTGCAACCCCGGGAAGCTATTAGCATTGTTCCTTTATGTTGGCTCATCTCTCTGTGCATACTTCTGTTATTAGCACTTAGCACATTGTACTTTGTCTGTTTTACAAATGGGTTTCCCCTAGACAGTTCCCTCCCCCTGGAGATCAGGGACCAAATTTGACTCATCTTTGAATCCTTCAGACCTTGTGGCTTATTACTGGACAGAATAGAAGTTTGGTGAATGAATGAAGGGAAGAGAAAAGGGTATATGGTGGAGAGAATGAGACTCCTTCCCCTCCATCCACTAAAGCCACCCAAGGCCCAGCTTCACTTGCTGAGTGACCTTTGCTGGTTTTGGGGGGTCTTTGCTCCCCCCCAAACTCCAGGGATTTGAACTGCTGGAGTGCAGTCCAGCAATCCCCTCACAGATGTGTCAAAGACTCCATTGGTCATATTTCTCTGTGCCAGTTCTTTCAGTTTACTTACATGTGTCACTGGGGGAGCCTCCTCAGAAGGAGATACTTTAGAACTTTGCTGTCCAAACGTGGTGCAAGGCCCAGAACGGGTCACCTGAAAGCTTGTTAGAAATGCAGAATCTCAGGCCTTGACCCAGATCTTCTCATTCAGAACCTGCATTTTTGACAGGTGACTCCAAGTACATTAAAGGTGGGGGAAGCACTGTCTAGGGAGCATTAGGGAACTGGTTCTTCCTCACACTTGCCTAATCATAAGAATCACCTGGGATGCTTGTATTTCATCAAAACTTAGATGCCGATGATTAGAAGAGCACTCTGATTTCAAAGATGTTCAGATATACACATTATTAAAAGGGTGTGTCTTAGAATCAATAAGTTCCAGTAATAGTGCTGATTCCAGAGCCTGAGAACCTGTTTTCAATTAATACAGGTGATTAGCATCATCTGCAAACTGAAAAAACTGATCCAGAACAGCAGTTCTCAACTTGTGGTACACATTGGAATTTACTTGAAGAGCCTTTTTAAAAATCCTGAGTTAATTGTTCTGGAGTGCAGTACAGGCATAGATTTTTTTAGTTTCCTTAAGTGATTCTAGTGTGCAGACAAGGAAGGGAACCACTGAACTCCGAGGATGTAACTTTCTCTTTCATTTTAGAGTTGGGATAGGGCAGTGGTGGCCAATTGGACTAAGAAAGGGGGAGGTAGAACCTAGGTCTCCCACCAACCAGACCAGGAACCCTGAGGCCTCCCACCCACCAAGAACCCTGAGCTGCCAAGGACCATTGTCCTTTCATCTGCATATCTGTATGCGAAGCGCTGGGCCTGGAGCCCAGCTTCTCAGGGCTGATGGAGAAGTAGGCAGCCACCAAGGTGCCTTCTGTGGAGATCATGTTTTCCCAATCAAAAATTGGCAGGTGCTTGTGGACTTAAGGGAAAACAAGAGCGTGTCTTTGAAATTGTGACTGTCTTGGAATCTTGGCTATAAGGTTTCAGTAATGATACCTGCCCTACCTTCCTGCAATATTGGTAACGTACACCTAGGCCAGAGCTGGGCTGAAGCCTGTACTGTTCACAGCAAGGGACCGCCAGGAACCGTGCTAGTCAATGCATGTGGCTCATACCAGTTAATTCTCACACTGACTTCAAGGTAAGTGCTTGGTTCCCAGTTTACAGACTGGATAACTGAGGCTTAAGGGTTAAGTACCTTGTTCAAGGTCTTACAGCTTAATAAACAGACACGCCAGCTGATCTTTCTTTCCACTACCTCCACATCAGCCACCAGTGAAAGAACGCTTGGGTGAAAACGACAGGCAGATGCATGAGCTTAATAACAGCAGCACTTGCTGTGTTAAAGGAGCCACTGACTTGTTTCACAAGCGGGGGGGGGGGGGGGGGGGGGAAATGAGCTGTTCCTTTTTCAGCTACCACCTCTGCAAACTTCTGTGCTGCTGCTCCTGCTTGTTTCCTAGCTTGCTGGCTCCTGCTCCCAAAACTGAGCTGAGTAAGAGAACTCCTGGCCCTCCCCTGGCCTCTGAGGGCACAGACCCACTGCTACGCACACACCATCCTGATGCCACTGCCCTCCTGCCGGCCCCCCCCCCGTCTCCTGTGCCTTTCCACTGGCATTTCTGTATTACCGCATTTGAGTTCAGTGTCCTGGTGGAGTAGGCGAAGCTTGTAGGTGCCATTCCCATTTTAGAGGTGAGTGAACTGAAGCCCAGAAAGGCGATCCTCATATTAATAAACAAGCTAGCATCAGAATCCGCTAGAGCTCAGGTGTCCCAGTTCACAACCTTTATAACCAAATCATTTTGAGTGAAAAAAATCATTATTTCTCAGCAAATTTGGTCCTGTTTTCTGAGTTAAGGGGAGATCTCAGGATCTGTCTTACACCCAGTGGGGACTTGTGGGTAAAGCTGGAGTTGGGGGAACATGAAGAACGAAGAACTGCCTTCCAGACTTTCCAGTTCAAAGGAAGAGGTGGAGTAAATTCACAGAGAAACAATTTAGTTGAAGGAACACTGCTAGTGGAGAATTCAGAGCTGTTTAAAACCTAGTCTCTGCTCCGGGACAGCAAGAATGAGTCACACATCTAACTGTCAAACTGATACATTCTATAGTGGAAGAAAGGAGGGAACAATTGTAAAATGAACAGACTTTGAACAAAGAAGCAGAACACAATAGAAATGGAGGATATGCATTTTAATGAGAGGAAAGAGCATGAGAAAAGGCATGGAGGCACAAGGTACAAAGTGTGCTCAGAGAAGACTGGTAAGTTTGATGTGACTGGGCTGGAGTGAAAGTGAACAGTACGTGGAGAGGAGGGCTGGGACCAGAGGCCAGGAAAGGGAAATTGGGGCTAGCCAGTGAAGGACCTTCAACAAAGGGTTTGGCTAAAACCGATGGAAGACTGGCTTATTAACAAGTACAGATGGATAGGGCTGCATGGTGCTATAAACAAAGCTGGGTGACTAGGGTTGGGGAGGGGGGCTGGCTGCTGGGACAAGCCGAGAAATGAGCTCAACAGCTTGGTTCTAGAAGGATCTAGGCATAGGGTACGGTTTGCAACGTTTTCCTGGCCAAGAATCTTTTTTTAAAGTTACAGGTGTTCTCTCCCAAGTCTAGTATCTGCGGAGAGTCATCTGGCGTAGGTAGGAGGAGGCTGACATCATAAGTGAGCTGCAGGCCAGAGCGAAGAGAAGCAGTTCTTCCAAGAAGTAAGAAGTGCATCTTTGTCGGTGAGGGTCTGGGATTCAGGGAGGGCCATTTATGGAACAATCTGATGAATAGGCTAAGAGGAGAAGAAGCTGTGTTTAGATCCCAGAGGCTCAAAGACATCATTAAGGCGCCAACATGAGGTTATGGGGAATGACTCACTCCTTCATTTCCCAAACTCTTCTACACAGACAATGGAACCCCACTGAGATCTTGCTGGTGTTACGTAGGTGGGGAGATTGATGCTAGGTGTAATCAGGGCAGACTTCCTAGCAAGGACAGTTTATCAAATGGCCTGGAAATGTGGGAGGGTTACAAGGTGAAGGGTGTGATGCACACGGGAGCATGAAGGGACCTGTGAACTGGTTTGCCTGGGTGGGGTGGAAGGCAGGGATTGCCCACTATGGGCGGGTTAGGTAAATAGGTCTGGATTAGGAGGGAATCCTGAAGAAACCTGGCACAATGCAAGATACCACTGCTTAAAACTGTCAAAATTTGCATTTTTATTAGAACCTAGTTGACATTCTACATGGTTACCTGGTGCTTGATTTTTAATTTTGAGATTTATTTTACTACTCGTTGTAGGGAGCCCAATAGCCTCAACATTCCTAAGGGCCCCAAAACCAATTTAGTCTGGGGTTAAGACCCAGGAGCGTCTACTGGGGATGGGGTGGAGGCTGCTACAAATTTTTACAGACCTTCGTTTTCCAGTCCCTTGATTATAAAAGTAATGGATGTTCATTGTAGACAATTTTTAAATGCAAATAAGTATAAAGAAGAAAATAAATATAACCCATAATTCTGCCTCTCACAGATAATCATTTGTAAGCTTTTTGGTGTGTTTATTTTCTATGCATATATGTCACATAATTAGGACCATACTGTATGTACAGATTTTTGCATCCTTTTTCTTCACCTAACTTTACATTGTAAACATTTCCTCCTGAGTAAGAAATTCTCCAAGAACAACTGTATTTCACTGTATGTATATGACATAATTTAAACATTTCCCTGTTGGACTTTTAAAGTTACCAACCTTTCTGTGCGATAAACATTGCAGTGATGAAACTTTGGGCATGTTTTTCTGGCAGCTCTTTTTCGAAGAATAATTTTCTGGAAGTGGAATTACTGGGTCAAATAATATCAACTTTTAAAAGATTCATGATCATGTATTACTAAATGGCTTTCAGAAAGATTATTCCAATGTTCATGCCACCAGTAGTATACATGTGTGTTCCAGCTCACTACGCCCTTACCTGCATTAGGACTTCCCCCCACCCCCCAATAATCTTTGCTAATTTGATGGGTAAACATGGCATCTCCTTGTTCTCTTTTTAGTTTTATTGATTCTTTGTAAGGTGAACTTTTGCCCCCATGTTTATGGAGGGCATAGTTTTTTGAGTTTGTCTGTGTTAGGAGCAGTAGGCAGGGATCAATGGAGGTGACACCAGATACAGGTAGAGAATAGGGTTCAGGGTCCAGCTTGGGGCGAGTTGGAGGAGGCAGAGTTTGGGAAGGAATTTGGCTGTGGGAGTGGGGAGAACTGGGAGGAGCTGGATAAGAAGCATTTGTGCAGCTGGCTGTGGGGGGGTAAGGGCTCGCACAAGATAGAAAATAGGAAAAAGATTAATTGCTGCTAATACACTTAATTATGTTCAGTGAAGTCTTAGGGACTCTCCCTTGTAAGTTCCCTTTAGGTTATGATTTTCCGCCACTTGGGAGTGGTGTGCTGGTTGGGTGGGGTGTCTGCAGTCCCCAAAACAGACCAACTCCACTTCTTTGTATGCTGCAAGGTGAATAAACCTCTGGGAGTGTTAATAGGGAACCAAAGCCCAGGCCAATGTAACAATACACAAATATTAATTGGGTAGTCAAAGGTCAGGCACTGTTCTAAGCTCTTCTATTAGTTCATTTATCTTAAAACCACCACAAAGCAGGGTTTCTCACACTCATTTTACAGATGAAACAGAAGCTCAGCTAAGTTAAGTAACTCCCCCAAGTCAGTCAGGAAGTAGGTGGAGGAGTCTGGAATTGAACCCAGGCATCCTGGCTACAGAGCCTAAGCTCTTAACAAATACAGAAATAAGTGTGGGAAGGGGAGCCAGAATGCAGGGCACACCCTGCCTATCTATGCCTGCCAGGAGAAAACAGACACCCAGAGTGAGAATGCTGGGGTAGGGCTGCTAAAAGTGAATCCTGGGACAATAGTAATAGCTATCTTTCATTGTGCACTGACTTTGTGCCAGGCACCGTGCAAAGGTGGTGAACGTTTATCCTCACAATAACTCCTTTGAGTGAGGTAGTGCGATTACCCCATCCCATTTAGTAATGAGCTGACGCACAGAATTTGCAATGATCCTGCTGTGCCGACTGCGTAGTGGCTACAGACCACGTGGCGCCGGGATGAGGAAAAAATGGCGGGGGCGGGGCCTGGTGGCCGGGTGGGGGCGGGGCCTGAGCCCGCGAAGACGCACAGCGGCACTGGTCAGGTTTCCGTGGGGTCGCACCTGTTGCGTGACTACTGCACAGTCCAGGTACAGGAGGCCGACCCTGAATATCCAGAGAGTGTGGAGAGAAGCTCAGGCGAGTTCCGGGTCCCGTACTCCCTGGAGCACGTGGCCTGCCCGCCTTTGGATTGAGGGGTTAGGGGGTCTTCCAGGCCAGTGCTGCGGCCAAGGTCGGCGGGGGCCCGCCTCCTGACATCCGGCCAATTTGAAAGAGTGCCTTCCCCCATCTCAGTGCCAGGGCAGGGGCTCTTGGAGCGACTTTGCCCGGGTCTGGGCCCCAGCCCTCATCCCCTTCCTCGAGACCCGCGTTTCCCGACTGTGCAGACCCTGGCAGGCAGCCTCCCCCGTCCCTTTAAGGGCTCGGGCAGCATGGCCTCAGGTGAGTGTGTGTGCCTGTGTTGAGGGGAGGGTGTCTGGGACAGAGAAGTGCAGTGGCCAGGGTGACAAGTGGGTAGTGGACTGAGCATAACCGGCAGACCTAGGGAAGGCGGCCAGCTCCTCCTGGGGAGGGCCTGGGGGAGCAGAGCCTGAGTGTCGAAAAACCGAGGGAACAGTCAGGAGACACCGGCGTCTCTTTCCCAGACACTCAAAGAAGCCCCTGCCTCCTGGCCTCCTTGCCTTCCTAGAAGGTAGCTTCTACTGAGCAGTGGAATTTTCCCCAAGACAGGCTACTCCCTACCGGGCTGGGATTCTCCCTTCTACTGCATCCTCCAAGAGCTGGGCTACTCTGGGGCCGGGGTTCAGACAGAGAAGAAAAGGGGATTCTGCCCCAGAGGGACTGGGTGTTCACGGACTGCGCCTGCCCTGAACGGAACGTGTTCTGAACCTGGGGGAGCTCGTGCCGGATTTTTGGTTATTATTATTTTTTTCTCCCAGGCTAGCTTCAGCTAGCCTGGACTTTGAGTCCTGGCCCCAGAGCCATGGCAAGGGAGGAAGGTTCCAGGGCGCCAGAGAGGGTTAGCGGCGTGCTGGGCGCTGGCCTTTCCTATCTTGTTCGCACCTCCATCCCCCAGGCTCACGTCACTCCAGGGATGAGGAAGGGAGGGGAAGAGAGGGATAAGGGGCGGGGATGGAGGCCCCCTCCCGGAGGTTACCTAGACAACAACAGAAATCGTAGCCAGGGCCTCTTCCGCCTGCGGGGCCTCTGCTTCCTGCATCAGGCACTCCCTCTGGGGCGGGGCGGAGGAAGGGGTTGGATGTGGCAGAGCCAGGCCCAGCTGGTGCGGCTCAGACACCCCCGCCATCTCCACGACCAGAGCCATGGCATCCTATCCATCCGGCTCGGGCAAACCCAAGGCCAAATATCCCTTTAAGAAGCGTGCCAGCCAGCAGCCCTCCTCTGCAGTACCAGGTGAGTGTGTGCATCCTGGCCCAGGCACTGGCTGTGCTCCACCACTCCTCGCCCTGGTCACTGGTCCCCTCAGAGGGTGGTGTCCTCAGAGGGTGGTGTGTGTGTGTGTGTGTGTGTGTNGCGGGGCTGCCATAAGCAACTGTGTGTGGCCAGCAGCCAGCGTGAGTGGCCGGCAGCCCGAGTGAGCTGCCAAGAGCCACTGTGAGCAGCTGTCCAGAGGTCGGCGACCGATCTGCCTCACCCTGGAAAAGCGCAATGATAATATCAACATGGGCCAGTGAAGCGACGTCCTCCACAACTAGACTGAAGAGCAAAAGGACAGCAATTTGTCTGTTCCCCTTCCCCTGATGCCCCAGCGCTGTTCCCCTCTCCCAATTCCCCAATAAAATCTTTAAAAAAATAAGATAAAAAGAAATGAATGAATTGCAGAAACAATAAAGGAATAATATTTCTTGCAGCTGAGCATTTGATAAGTATCAAGTGACAGAAAGTTCAGACTTACATCTTCTGACAAAATCCTGAAATGCAGATATTGCCTTTTTGATAAGAAGGCAGCATATGCTGTAAAGCAATTATTCAGCCTGACCCACAAGAGAGCCACTTAGGAAGCTTTAAAACCACAGATGCCACCACTCTCGGGGATTCTGATGTCATTGGTCTGTGACGGGATCCAATAGTGTTTAAAAAGTTCTCCAGTTGAACCTAACGTACAGCAAGTTTGAAAATGACTGCTTTCAAGTCAACAGAGCTGGAGGAAAGGCTGATTTTTTTTTTTTAAATAAAATTTAAGCAACCAAACCAGGGCATGTGCCTAAATGAGCTGGCCAGGGATTACCTGTGTCTTTCTAATATAGTTTCATCTTCTTGTTCATCGTCTAATCCATTGCAACCACAGCTTTCTTTCTTTGTTTATACTGTAATTGATCAAAGGAGGCTAAGTGTAGGGCAGAGGGGTAGCCCCCACTGACACCCCTGTTTTCCTGGTGCCTTTGCTGTCCTCAACTGTGTTCTTGACTATGGATGGTGGCTGCCAGCTCAAGAGATTGGCAGCACCCCACACCTGTGCAGTCCCTGGAAAGTGCCTATTGTTTTACGCTTCTGTGTCCTCCCCCTGCCCAGAATGGCGACACCTACATCTGAGTGTACCTCCCAAGATCACTCACACTTCGCTCTTAGACTTTCCTGACCTTCCCCCCACCCCCATGTCCTACAGACTTCTCTCCTGGGACTATCATGTCAGATGGATCTTCTTTATTGATCTCCTCATGCTGTAGACCAGCACCATCCAGTGGAAATATTTAAGTGTTACAGTAGCCACATTAACAAGTAAAAGTAACTTTCATAATATATGTTATTTAACCCAATATATCCAAAGTATTATCATTTCAACATCCAAATCAATTTAAGAATATTAATGAGATATTGTATAAGCTTTCCCACACACACACACACACTATATCTTTGAAATCCAAGGTATTTTATACTCACAGTACATCTCAATTAGGACCCTAAATTTTCACTGGACATACTTGACCTGTCTCTAGATTTCAAAACATTTACAGTTGAAAAAATTTATTCACATACCTAATCAAACATATCTAAAAGTTTTTCAATGACTTAATTGAGTATCAGTTTTTAAAATTAAGTAAATTAACATTAAATATAATGAACTGAGTCCCTCAGTTGCACTAGCTACATTTCAAGCTCTCAGTGGCCACATGTGGCCTAGGGCTACCATATTGCACAGCAGAATTCTAAACCATAGGCTTTCTGAGTGTAGGGATTGTTTCTTTGTATTTTCAGAGTCAAACACAGAGCCCAGCACATAGAGTACTGAATTGAAACGTTTGTTGAATGAACGATAGCAGAGTTGGGCCTTTTAAAAAAGGGAAAGGCAAGAGTATAGTAAGTCCTCATGTAACATCGTTGATAGGTTCTTTAAACTTCGACTTTAAGTGAAATGATGTATAAGGAAACAAATTTTACCACAGGTTAATGGATATAAACAAGAGTTAAGTTCCTGAGGCATATTTCTGGACACAAAAACATCACCAAACTTCTAAATGAAGACCAAAACACTTCTAATATTAAATATTGAAATAAATGTGAGCTATACATACATTTAAGAAAGATCAATAAAAACAAATAAAATGATCTTTTCCAATCCACGTATTCCAGTTCACACTAAAATCTGTTCCACATTTAAAAACATCTCCCCCTTGTGGTTTCCACCCAACTTCCATTCTTTAACAGCCAGCATTGTCTTATTCACTGTACCTACCATATGACAGGGTCTCAGTTCTTGTTTTTTCAATAAAGGAATGACCCAATGGATGAATGCTAATGTAACACTATCCGTTCTACCTATTTTAAATATTATTCTGTTTAATGTTAGCTTTTTTTAAAAAATATATTTTATTGGGGAATTGGGGGGAGTGGAACAGCGTTGGGGAATTGGGGAAGGGGAACAGACAGGTAGACAAATTGCTGTTTTTGTTCTTCATTCTAGTTGTGGAGGACTTGGCTTCACTGGCTCATGTTGGTATGATCATTGTGCTCTTCCCGGATGAGGCAGATCGGTCGCTGGTCATTGGTAGGCCTCTCACAGCGGCTCCCGGCAGCTCACACCNAAAAAAATTAAAAAATAAAAATAAAAATGCTATCACAGACCTAAATTTACCCTTAAAATATATACCACTCCAGAAGTTCAATCAGCTCCAAAGACTAGCATAATTGACCTCCCTGGGGCCTGCTAGCTGGTAAGAAGTTAAGAAATAAGCATGTACATTAACAGATGTGCTTTTAGGATAGCATGCAAATTTGGTATGCTTTAGAAATAAAGAGTTTTCTAATTTCGACAAAACATATAAATTGGACAAGCTTAAAACAACAATGCTTTTAGCTAATTTGCTGTGACCTAAGGAAGCAGCTATAATAAAACGGAACATCATTTAAGGCAGCAAGACCTGGAATCTTTTTTTTTTTTTTAAGATGTTTTTATTGGGGAATTGGGGAAAGGGAACAGACAAGTTGCTGTCATTTTGTTCTTCAGTCTAGTTGTGGAGTACGTCGCTTCACTGGCCCATGTTGGTGTTATCATTGCGCTCTTCCCAGGTGAGGCAGATTGGTCGCCGGCCATTGGACGGCCACTCACGGTGGCTGCCAGCCACACACGGTAGCTTATGGCAGCCCACTGCAGCAGGGGCTGCAGCGTCCACCGATGCCTGCAACTCATGGCAGCCCAGCTCCAGGTTGAGCTGTTGTTCACCATCTTAGCTGTAGAGGGCAGTGTCACTGGCCCCGTGTGGGATCCGAACTGGCCCCGTTGCTCAGAGCTGGCGTCCCAAACCAGCTCTTAACCAACGCGCCACTCGGTCAGCCCAAGACCTGGAATCTTGTGGGAACGTGTTAGCTGACCACTGTGCTGCACAAGCAGCATTAACGAAGGCAATTGCTCCTGAAATCACACAGAAAAGAGAGGCCCCTGGAGGAATTCAAAGAGGCTATTTTTAACTGTTAGAGAAAAACCCCTGATTTGGAAAAGTGGAAAAATTCAGAAATGGGGACGGTTGCATGAGGATAATTTTTGGTGCTCTCAGAATGGCTGACTCATGCCACCAAACAAGTTAAAATGGAGGTTAGGAAAAGCACTTCATGACATTACTGATAATAGCAGAGGTCCACTGGCAACAACATTAAACCAACGTTGGTGGGGTACCATAAGAGGTATTGCCAAAGATGTTTTTAATACATCCTACAGCCAACAATGTGATCTTGGTAAAATGGAAAGGTGGAATGTGGACAATAACCAATGTCTCGAGGGCCCTTCAGTTCTCCAAGTGGGCTTTATACAAATGCCTCTTGCAATGGATTATAAATAAATTCTGCTTATTTTCTGTTTTCTTCTCAGTGTAGATTAAAGCTTTTTCTTGCCAGAGAGCTATGGCTCTAACTGTGGGGGGAAAAAAATGTTTTGTTTTTTTTTGCTTGATTCTGTTTCCCAACCTGGGGAATTTCCACTTATTTTTCTAATAACCACAGACACTCATTTTACTGGTACTGTTATTAAGGAACTCTGCAAAGTTTACCTTTTACCCGAAACCTTACTGTTCTTATCATCCACAGTCCTTATGAAAAATAGAACTAATCGAATTGTTTTTTACACTTGACATTCAATATTATTTTATATTAGTTTCAGATGTACAGCATAGTGGATAGGCATTTATATAATTTATGAAGTGATCCCCCTGATAAGTCTAGTACCCATCTGATACTATACATAGTTTTACAATATTATTGACTATATTTCCCATACTGTATTTCACATACCCATGATGATTTTGTTAACTACCAATGTATACTTACTAATTCCTTCAACTTTCTCACCCATCTGGCAACCCCCCCCTACCCCATAGAACTAATGGGATTTTAAATACTGAAACGAACAAGCTCTGGATATGAGGCCTTATCAGATACATGCTTTGCAAACTTTTCCTCCATGCCCTGGGTTATCTTTTGAGTCAGAGACCAGATTTACACAGAATAAACATCATGAGACTCTGTTTTCTTTCCAGATGACAAAATTTGGCTGTGACTTTCCTAAAAGGCAAGGCAAAGTGTGAAGTACAGCGTGTTATGCAATTCTGTCTATAAAATAAAAAAACAAACTAGTGGCTTGGGGAAAGCCCCTCTATTCCAGTCATGGCCCCTTAGAGAAATATTTCCTGCAGGATCCCATTATAGTAGTGAACACTATCCACATTATCCACATGGGAAAACCCAATGACAGGTTTCAGGGGGCTATTTCTTGCAACATCCTTCTAAGGAAGTGTCTTGGGGTCCACAAAAATGAGGACCATCTTCCTTTCCTGAGCCAGGCTGTATTGGGATCACAATGTGAGGGACATCTCAGTGCTCCCTGCCCCGAGGGTTCTGTCTCCTTTACATCTACACTGCCTGCGCCATCCTTGTCCTGCCCTGAAGGGGCACTTCTTCCACTG